ATTGAATCTGATTGAATCTTGAATAATGAATATAGATTTTTATTGGGAAGACCCGTACCTTGGTGATTTAGCTATATTTGTAAGATTTTTTTTCCTTTGTTTTGTTTTCCGTCGATCTTGTTTTCCGTGCTGAGCACCAATGCTAACGACGCCAGGGAGGCAGCTCCCACACCTGGACCCTACCTATCGACCCATCAACTCATTAACCGGGGACCAACGGCTTTACTTCCCTTCTGAAGGAAGGCGTGACCAGAGATGTTATGCCTCAGAACATCCCGGCGGCGCCGACTTACACTACACCCCCGGTACCGCTTTTTAGGCCAGTCTTGATAGCTAGTTGCTTACGGGGAGCCCTTCGTTGTATACTGGAGAACACCATTACTCACCACGAGGTGATTGAATAAACACCCGTTTGGTGAGACCGGATGCAATTCAACTTTGAAATCTGTGTTAGGGAAATCGCTTTTCGCAGGCGATCGGTGATAATTTTCATTCGCGCAATTTTCAATAGTGACATTTTAAAAAATGAGAAAGTCTAAAATTTATCAGATGCGTTGAAATATTTCTGATAGATTGGTGATAAAGTTATTGAAATTGGTCCAGGTTCAGCTGAGTTATTAACGTTCAAAAAATTTCATAATTTTGTCACATGTTCCATTTTCGGTTTTCACAAAGTATAGAAATTACAGACGTAGTCCTACGTCAAAACCATAAGCGAACGATAACTCAAATAATAGAACTATTTCACAAATGGCTTGGATGATTCCCCGAACACGTCGTTAAGCAAAATAACCTTAACAATTTTATAAGGGTAGTTTTCTAACGGGTATTCAATAAAAATGAGAATGATTTCAGTGTCGTCCAGCGCTCTTGTGAGAGCATCGCGACTAAGTTGCGTCGTACGGTTGACCAGGGCCCCTTCTCCAATATTCATTGACGTTTTTTTTTGAAGAATAAACATTAGGTTTTTAATAAAAAATACTGAATTCGCTGAAAATTTTTTTTTTACTTGCTATATGACTGAAAAAAATTCTAATTTTTTATTGAACACCCGTTAAAAGGGTGTATAGTCGTGAATGAAAAAACAAAACTACCCAACTGTTGAGTTAATTTATAGTAAACTCGTTTATTAACCTTAACCTTAGGTAGGTTTTAGAAACAAACGATCAAACTGAAGTTTGTCAGACAACAAGCAGACCCAATCTTGATACCCGATGCAGGTTTGAACTAAATAATAAATTAATTCGCTATTATATTAGTATTTAGAAATGCCTTTCATGTTTTTGTAAAAGAACAACAAGAAAGAATGCATCTCATGTTAAGAAATACATAACAGCCAGTGGGTAAATGACTCTCCCATTTATGGCTAATACAAATATTTACATCCGTCATGTATGCATGCAGGCAGCTGATCGAATCGTCCGTCCGGAGCTGGCGATACAATAAACAACATGTCCAACTAATGTAAATATTAATTGAGATGAATCATTTAAGGTCCTTCAATAGTTGAGGGATTTCTTACTGAAGAAAAGCATGTTTGGCTGTCTTGATATTGAATAGTGTAATAATCTGCAGAACTATCATCAAACAGCAATTCCTTTGAGCATTATTCCATAAGCGGTGTGTTTGATTAAAATCACCAATAATGACCTATGATGGGTAAGTTTCTAAAGGTCACGTTATGAACTCTCAAAAAAAGCTCGTCTTCATTATTTTTAAGAGATCGAGCATTCCAATTCAAAACATTTAATGATAAAATCCATTACTGAATTTCAAATTCATGACTATATTGTTCGCAAATATTACTCTAGTTTGAATAGCACCAAACATGGAGTTAGTTTTCAGCATATCAGTAATCATGTCAATTAACGATTTCTGTAAAAAAAAAATCATTTTAGGAGTAATAATGCTTTCTAAGTCGAAATTATCAAAATTTCGATTAGAATTGTGTTGGCTAGAATTTTGATTTCTACCCTAATTTTTCTTTCTATTACTTGGAATAGCAACATGGGAAGCTGGGTGATGTTTGTACCTACGGTTACGAAGATAGAACCGTTGTTAACGGGAAAGGAATTTGTATCTGTTCGGAAATGTGGAGCGTTTCATACCTGTCGCTTAGAACGGGATTGTAGGATCCCTTTGCAAGTCTTACATTCCAAAAAATTCGATTTGTAGTTTTACCTACAATTTGAACATTAAATTTGTTTAGGATCATTCTTTGCGTGAGAGGATAGCATTTTTTTCCCTGGCACTTACGGTACTGGGTGAGGTTTAGGAAATTTCCTCCAGTCTCCCTGAAGTGTTCCCACTTCACTCGGATATGGAGTATAAGTCTAGCTTTTTCTAAGGCCTCAAGGTTGTTTAGTTCACTAGACTTGAAGTGAACTAAATAAAAATTGTGTGAACCACCAGGACGGGATTTCATTTTCATTTTGATTACTTGGACAGGATCAACTTCAAGTAATTTAGTCAATTCATCTTTGATCTGATCCAGGGATTCACCACTGGGCAGACCTTCAAGACAACCTTGAACAAACGTTCAGTTTGAGTATCATAAGTTGAAAATGTGTGTTGCTTCTCAGTAAGGACTTGAGAAGACGTTTGAATTCGTCCAAAGTTACAGCCAATACACGGCATTCACCCCGACGGCCAATTTGAAGTGAAAATTTCAATTGAACGAAGTTCAAAAGTTCCTTGCGAAGAGCATGGAAATCGGAAGTGGTTACAAGAATAGGGGGAACCTTTTCCTTTTTGGCCTTAAGCCGGGAAAGTTTAATGGAAGTTTCTCTAAATCAACTTCCAAGCAAATTACTATAAGAATCCGAAGAATCGAAGAGGAATTTTTCAAGTCAATAGCAAAGCAGGATTACCACGGATAGGGTCCAAACAAGAATCGAAGAGGAATAAGAGTCAGAAAAGATAAATAGATTGTTGTAGCTTTAGGCATCAGTAACACTTCCTTCAGCAAAAAGCAAATAGATCCGCCCGGCAAGAGAACATGATACGGATTGACGAAGTTGCATCCGTTTTCCACATTTCAACTGTATTTTATTCTGAGAATATTTCCAAATAATTATAGGGAAATTTCCATGGTAACTATAAACATAATTTCAAGAGAATTCTGTGAAGAATACCCAGGAGCAGAGTTGGTAACAGTCAGTTTGGTCAGTGGCGTTTGACGAACACCGTAAATAAATTGTCACGGTACAAAAATCAGCTTTCCATAAATCCTTCGTCATTGACTGTAAACCCTTTGAAAAAATTCTATCGCATTACTTCTCTTTTTTCTATCATGCATTGACCCAAAAACAATTAAAAACCCGCAGAATGTATGTACATGTGAGCAAACGAGTTAGATGTGTTAGATTTTTAGCAATATCGTAACAATTTGTGATGTTTATCAAATCCAACGGTACGTATGGATAAGTAAGTAAATTTAGAAGTCATTCTAGTTTTTGTTGAAACCCGTTCGTAAAAAGATTAGTTAAGTGCGGGTTGTGCATAGTATTATATATATATTCACCCTACGAGTCGGCAATCTTAATTTAATGGCTTGCTTTCGGAGCAAAATTGCTAATTTGTATGGTAATTTGTTCACTTTCCGTTCAAAATTCTGCAGCCATGTCTTTTCGGCGAACGAGCGGTGAGAAGGGTATCATCAAGTGTTTGCGTCAGACAAGATTCATTATTTATTAAATCTTACGCTTTCTTTTTACAAGTCGCCCAAGTTTGCGGAATTTCAATTGTTTTTGATCTGGGTCTTGGGAAAATTTTCCATTATGTGGGGGTGATTGAAAACGCGATTGACGTATTAATTGGATGGACTGCTTTTATCGATTGAGAGGGTTGAAACGCATATATCAGGGGATTTTACCATTTATTCAAAGATCCTGATGGGCATAGACGCATATTCCTGGAAGGGGGTCGTAGGACTCCCGCCTGCTTCATTTTGTTATGGTTTGGTAAACGAAGGTTAGATAAAATACGTGGGAATTATATTCAATTGAATGGAGTTATGGTCATGGCGTCACAGTATCATATTCAATCGACAAAATCGATGCAATGAAGAGACTGGTAGTTTTTTTTCTTGTGGAAGTCGAGCAGCTTCCCATCATTCTAGAACCTCTATCGGCGTCTACAAACAAAATTTAAATCGTTTGTTTCTCTTTCTCCCATCGCTTCTTTCATGGTTCTTTCAAGCTTCGGTGTACGCACGACTTTGATCAGTTCGTCTTTCATGAGACACATTAATCGACCTTTTATGACGTAGTGGAAATGGATGTAATGTCGGCCTAAATGCTCCTAATTTGGGCCCATACATAAATTCAGCAATCGACTAAATTTTCAATAGCGACCAAAAATATCGGTTAGTACCGTCCCAATGACGCGTTCATCTAGATACAATTGATAAACAACAGATTTTTAGCGATGGGCCCAATCTTGGGATCTATAGGCCGACATAAGAGCCAGTTCCCCTATTTGACGGAAAATGAACATAAATATTTAAAGCATTTCGCACATGTAAACACTTGAACATTACACGTAATATGTATATTTTATCTTCCATCTACATATTTATAAAAAAGGGGGCAAAACTCATAATTAATTAATTGAAAGAGAGGCGACAGAGTGTCGTTGAAAGGAAATGAAAGCTTAGGCTTCGTTTTAACACGAAAATCGACGTTACTTCTATTAAAAGGATGTGAGCAACGTAAGATGCAAACATCCACAGCTAGTCTTTCGTTCTTAGCGTGCTTTTTTTCATTTTCGTTCGCCGTTTCTCGGCTAGACAAGCGCTACGGATATGATGCGTTAAACTCGTTGCATGAAAGAAGAAAAAACTCGAGCTCATTTTACAGATTTTTAAACATAGAGCCCTGCTTTTGATATAGGTATTTTCATTGTGCACGTTTGTAAATATTAAAGGAATAAAAAAAAAAAAATCAAGTCTAATGTTAATATCCTTTCAGGAACACTAATGGACAACTACACCTACTCACCTGTGGAATGCTGAGCACGAACGACAACGAGTAGGCTCCGCACAGAAACCGATGGCAGCGGCGGGCGGTGTTGAGCGATTTCATCGGATACTTGACCGCCACCCATCGGTCAACACCGATCAGCACCAGCACGTAGGTGGACAGATACAGACTGAACATTTGGAGCAATTTAACCAGCTTACAGGCGACCGTTCCGGCGACCCATTCGACCGTATAGCTCCATGCCGCCTCCCCGATGATGCAGAACACGGTCACCAGCAGGTCCGCAATGGAGAGGTGAAAAATCAGCGAATAAATTGCGCTCCAGTTATGGCGGGCCAATCGACGTGATTTTCGATTTTTCTGAATACTCCACATAGTAGCGATGTTACCTAGCAGGGACACGATGGCCATCGCCGACAGGACGATTACTCGAATTATAACATTTGTGCTAAGTGTGGGCGCGTGCGGCAAACACACGATCCACGGATGGCTAGTGCTGGCCCCATCCTCATCGTAGGTCACATGCAGCAAGTTGCAGTCTTCCTGGGATAGTGTCATGTTGGTTGTTATGTTTGCTTCCATTATATCCGTTGCCATCGTTGCCAGCGTGGACAGATAGGAGGGTACCAGCAGCAGCTGCTGGTTTGATGCTTTGTCCCATCCGGTGGCATTGGTGTCATTGATGGATATGCTGGTTGCGGTGCCAATCCCTGTCCGTTCGGTGGGTAGCAAAGACCCCACTCCTGGGATCCATTGGGTAGCGATGAACGCATCTGTTGTGTAACTGTCCGATATTGATCCATTGGCGGTGGTTACAGCATTACCGTAAAGTGACTCAAACAGTATAGATGATAGATTAGTTGCCATTGTCTTCGAGGACTGCTCGGCTGCATTCGGCCACCGGGGCCGGCCTGTTACCCTAGCGTTCACGATTGTGCGTCATTGGCACGAGCGACGTTTCTGCGAACGAGAGAGGACCAAATTACAAAAAAGAAAATTAGAACGAATTGAAAATTCAAGTTAACACTTATTCGTTGGAAAGGCTCATTTCCATAGGGAAATGGAAGATGGTGCTTGGTTTGTGATAATGGAAAAAGTTTCCGGTGTGGAGTGTGCTGTTTGCTTTGACATGATTTGCTCTCGATGTTTGTGATTTCCTGTGGAAAATTTAACTCAGAACAGCAGTACCCGTGGTTCTTTATTTAGAAATTAAAAGGTTTTTCAGCGTTGAATGAAGAAGAGCACAAGAACAATATTATATCTTTATTATGAGGGAGACCAGCCCTTCATTCATTTCCTACACTGTACAGGGAAAATTTCGGAAATTTTTTTCACTTAACGGTACACACTTAGAAATACCTAATTTTACACGTGACGGAATCCATCATTGACATAAAGGATGAGACGTAAACAAACATGTCATGTAAAATTAAGTGCTCTGAGACTGAAAAGTTCGAAAGTACGTTTGATTGAGCTGAATTTTGCGTCTATTATAACTCAATTGTATGTCAAAATTGACACTCCGTATGTGTTACTCTCAGCGCACCTAAATTTACATGAATTTTTCTAAATGTCTAGTAATGAAAAGTGTAAATCGATTAAGAAAATCAATCATCGCAGTTAGGCTGTTATGATTCGGAAAGTTGAATCATTCAATTTGAAAAACATCAGGTGGCATCCATAAATTAAGGGGGAAGGGGTTAGCTATATTCATAAATTAAGGGGGAAGGGGTTAGCTATATCGTTATGAATTGTTACATTGGGAAGAGCGGAATGAAAGCTTTGCGTTACGTTACAAAGAGAAAAAAAATGTTAATATCGATGTTTTGTTTTTTATGTAAAGTTTGAAGATACAGGTCAAAAAATGGCAGCAGTATCTCTTGCTTGCAAAATGTTTGTGTTATAATATTGTATCTTGAGATTTTTGTTTTCGTTAAACTTGTTTAACCCAGGTACCCGGTGGTACGTTTTTAAATGGTGAATATTTTCGATAACCTTGAAATAAAGAAGCTATAACCAAATCAAAAATTCTGGATAGAATGCTGGAACGAGGGGCATGCAATACAAAGAACCGGTGCGTTGAAGTTAAAATGCAATCAAAAGTGCTTAAAGTAATTAATGCGTTTTGAAGTAGTACTGACGGTTATTAAAATAATAATTATTAAAATATTAATGGTGTCTTCTGCTCGATTGAACGGAAATGGGCGATTACGATGAAGCAGCGCTCTACCCTATTCGCCTTTTGAGCTTGATTGAATGAGTTTGACGGACACTAATAAGAACATCCTTTTTGAAACTGCTATATTAAAAAAATAACCAAATAAGCTGATATTCACTCTTGTCCTTTTAAAAAAATATTTGGCTTCAACTTACGTTCATTGCGAAAAAAGAACGAGAGTTTTTTTTTTCTCATCAATAAATGACCGCTTTTTTTGGCAAAAAATAATGCTCTAAAATTGTTATTTTACAATTGATGCGCCTAAGAAAACTAAAGAAGTGTTAACAAATGCCTTGAGTTTCGATCAGTTGATTTTTTTTAATGATATTGTTAGTGATCAGAAAAAAATATAATATTTGTTGGTGGCGCTATAGTTGAGACCATGAGGTATATAATTTTTCAAAAGGTAATAAAGAAAAGAGGAAATAATCCATAATTTGTGAACAACTCAATTGTTAGGTTGTAGCTGCTTCCGTACAAATTCCAAACTATATCCACGGCTTGTTTTCGTTCTTATTTTTTCTTGTAATACATACACTGAAACCTCCGTTTACAAAGACTTTTTTTGCGCAGTATTCAGTTTACGTCCCCAAATAACGAGTTTTTTACGAAGTAAATCCCAAATAACATTTTTTTGTATAAAGTAAATTCCAAATAACGAAGTTTTTTTTTTCTGCGGTTCTGAAAAACTAAACGTCACCCCGGTTTCAAAAAATACCCATATTGTGGGTAATAAGGCACTATTTCCCAGTTTTTTTTTTCTAACTGGAAGCGGCCATCTAGGATTTAAAAATGCTGTCAGACATGACATGTCTATAATCGTCACCCGATTAAAAAAATATCCAAATTGTGGGTAATTAGGCAGTGTTTCCAAGTTTTTCTTTAGCCGGAAGCGCCATCAATGATTTAAAAGTAGCGTCATACTTGTATTTCCGGTTTCTAAATATCCAGCACTCAAATACCAAAAATATTTATATTAAGGAGTATTTGACAGAATGTTTTACTCCTACCGGATGCCACCATCTTTGATTTGTTTGTGTCATATTGTGGGGTTTTTCTGTACCCGCAAGTCGGCATCTTTGTTTTCAAAATGGCGTCAAATATGAATTTTCAGTCCCTTAACGTCACCCCGATTCTTAAAATATCCATACCCAACAATATTTGACAGCATTTTTAAGTTTTTCTCTGACTGGAAGCCGCCACCTTGGATATAAAAATGACGGCAGACATGTATTTCCGGTCGCTTCACTTAAGCCCGATTCCAAAAATACATAAATTAAGGGGTATTTGACAAAATTTTCAAGTTTTTCTCCAACCGAAACCTGCCACATTGATTTCAAAATGGCGTCAGACATCGATTTGTGGGTCATTTGACAGTGTTTCCAAGTTTTTTTTTGTATCTACCAATAGCTACCATATTGGATTTCAAAATGGCTTCAAATATGCAAAACTGGGTACTGCTCCGCGATGGTGATTTTCAAATACGTCTAGAAATCATCAGGCTTAAAAGCGTAAAAAAGGAACAAGCAACAGCTTCGTTTCACTTACGAACCGCATATTGGCTTCGATCATCCACAGACCATAATGAACACGTTGCGAGTGATGTATATATATATATACATATATGTCTTTCTCTGTGTTACTAAGCCTAGGATTACACTAATAGTGTATTCGTTTATTATCGGGGTTGGAACCAGTTCCAACCCAGTGCGAAACCGAACTTTTTGTCAGTGCGAACCTCAACCTGAGCTGGGTTTTAAAAACAAACGATCAAACTGACATTTGTCAGAAAACAAGCGTACCCAATCTTGATACCCGATCCAGGTTGGAACTGAATAATAAACGAATTCGCTATAACAGACTGAGTGAAACCTCTCTCGATTTTCCTCATATTTGAAAAGTTTTTCTTGCAAAATCGATGAAAATTTTACTCAGTCTATGAGTAACCTAACATACCTGTACATACCTACTTCCATGCAAGCTGCGCATCATAGATTCGATTCGTGTACTACCAGAAGCATCCTAAAAACTCACATGTAACGTAAGGGAATGTGGAGTTATACGCGCCCTCTTAGGAAATGATCGATTTTCACTACTTATTGATCGCATCCGGCCCACGGTGTGCTATTCTCGTTCATCTTTGTCAGACGAGAACATAGAATCATGTTAGGGCCTGTTCATAAACTACGTAGACAGTTTTTTGGGATTCTTGACCCCCCCCCCCTGCGTAGACAATTGACCATACAAATGTTTTTAAATTTGTATGGGCCGTGGATAATTGTCAACCCCCCCCCCCCCTAAACTGTCTACGTAGTTTATGAACAGCCCCTTACCGGAGTGCAGTTTCGAACCCTCTCGGATACGTTTGTGGTTTTCTCGCTTTCTTGGAAGTTTTAGAATCGCGAAAGAAAACGTGATTCATCATGTTCGCAAGCATTAGAACAGATGTCACTATCTACGTTGTTTGTTTTTTCTCCCGGACCAGAAGTTTGGGACATCACGAGTGATAGTTTTTAATTTCAGTTTATTTACGCGTTGTAAGGAGCGCGAAAGAGCTCGGCAGGGACGGTGTTGATGTTGGTTCGCTGGCGACTATTTTTTTAAAATATTTTCGATCGAAATTGATATCGTAGGAGTGTCAAAAGTGCTTCTGAACGTGTTTCGCAGTTGGGTGTGGTGAAATTCGTGCATACCCGGTTGATTTTCAGTGGAAATTCCGTATCACAAAATAGGGTGTGTTTTTTGTGACCAGTGCACAGTGGTACAGAATGCAGATTTAGCTGGAATGATATGTTTTGAGCCTGAAATTGAAACTTTAGACTAAAAGTCTCTTCTACAAAGTTGTTCCTTATTGTTAGGCCCTCATTTTTATGACAATGAATTCTAGGGTGGTTCCTATTATCATTAAAATCAAAAATCTAACTTTTTTGTTTGAATAAATTAAGGTATACATTCTTTGGCAAAGTTATAGCAACTTTGTTGAAAATAACTTTTTTGTATCTCTTAAATTGGCCGATTTAAAGCTATTTTCTTGAATTGAGTTAGGGTGACTCTTAAAAAAACAGTTTTTTTGCTCTGTTTTTTCTTATTTCGAATTTCTCAGCAAAGGTGTCTTGAGATAACTTTTAGATCTTAAAAAGGCGCAAATTTTTGCTGCACAAAGCTTGTCAATACCTTTCGCCGATCAAGAGTTATTGACGTTTGTATACTAAAAATATGCATTTTTCAAACAAACAATTATCTGAATAGCAATAGTAACAAACATGTCTTGACTACAGATCCTAGCAACAGCGAGATTGCCTCGTCCACAGCATTAGTGTAAATATTCACTTTTCACTCTAGGTCTACAATTTAAAAATTGTAGAAAAAAAAACAGGTTTTTAAACAATTAAAAGAAACACACCCAAAATTGAATGCACCAACCAATCGTGGCGTCAAGTTTCCGTTCGTGCCCCTAGGCACAGATTCTTCTACTTTTGTTGAGAGCAAAATTTATAAATTTGTATCATAGAAACGTATCAAAACCTTAAATACTATTTGTTGAAACAGTAGAAAGTTGATCAAAATGTCATTTTATGCTATATATCAAGGTGGCGCGATTTACACCATTTCTCCCTAGCGTTACGTCGTTTCCTGCTTGTCCTCCACAATGATGATGGATGCGAAATGAAATTGCCTTGTTTACCATCGTGTTC